CATTCTCCATCCATTCTAGATCCTTACCATGTGATATGTTGCTAACAAGAATAGATTTGTCAAGATTTGGTTTTATCAGCTCATCAGACCCAACCATAGTTATCCTACATAGTCCCCAAAATCCATTCCTTGCTTAATCTCCAGTATATAAACAAACATGTAATTATGTTTATCTAACACATCTGATTTTCTGCAAACTCTGAAATGAAGAGGAACAGTTCTGCTTTGTCAAACCTGGATAGTTGTAGCTCCGGCTCTGTCTCTTGACTTCTTTTGAGAATGTTAATGTTTTTTATCCTCACCCAAGGACATTTTTTTCCCATTGCTTCTAGAGAGAGAGAAACATCAATGTGTGAGAGAAATATCAATTGGTTGCCTCCCGTATGTGCCTGGAATGGGGATCGAACCTGCAACCTAGGTATGTGCCCTGACCAGGAATCAAAGCTGCAACCTTTCAGTTATGGGACAACATTCCAACCAACCGAGCCACACCAACTAAGGCGGAGAAATGTTAATTTTTATTAATATGTATTTACATGTAAGCTGCATGGAGTTACATTACTTAAAATTTAGTGGATTAAAAAATCCTTTCTATATTCTCTTAAAATGAGGATTTGATTTGTGATTTCTTAATTCTGTCAAAGTGTATTAGGCATCTGACCTGACATAAGAAACCAGGTACTAAATATATTCCAGGACCAAACTACTAAGGAAATTACTTGACATGGTCCTCTGTATTAGGAAAAAACCTTGAAGTCCTCAGTGAAAGATGTTTGTGTTATTGGCTAAGAACACAGACAATTCTGTAGATGGACATCTACAGGGCAGCAGTTTCCAAGGTTGGCCATTTTTTTGGTGCACTGCACTCTCTCACCCTCCTCCTTAGACCTGGAGTCTACCCTGCACCTCTCCCACTTTTATTTCTTTGCTGGCTGGTGAACTCTGCTAGAGTAGATGCAGTATATTTCCTTCTGCTATTAATTCCGGATTGACCATGTAATTTGTTTTAACCATTTACATATGCAAATAAAGTTAATTTTGAGATAAAATCTAATTTCAGTACCTGTATTTCTAGGCAGTTTTGATTTATATGCCATTTGTTTGTTTGCTTTCTGATGATTCCTTCCTCTGTTCTGCATCACTGGCAGGACTGCAAACGCTATTTCCCAGGCCTCCCTGTCAGTCATTTCCAGGTGTGTTCAGCCACTAAGAGGCACTGGCACTGAAAGAAAGGAGCAGTCAGTGTGTTTCTCTCCCTTTCTCTTTTTGGGAGGATGAGATGCATCTCTAACAGAGGCTGCTTCTCTTTCATGATTCCAGCTCCCAGCAGATTGGCCTTCCTCTATGGCTGGCCCCAAATCCCACCTTCCTAGGCTGCAGGGGTTCCTACTCCTAGCAAGTGGCCCAGTTTCCGGTCTTCAGTAAGGACACATCCTTCCATTATCTCTCCATTCCCCAGGGGTGCAGCAGCCTGCAGTTACTAACTAATCTCTGGGTTTCCTCATCTTCCCCTATTTTAGCTTTTCTAATCCTGTGCATTACTTCCTGTATTAAATTCCTTCTAGTGGTTTCATTTTCCTGGCTGTACTCTGATGGATAACCTATTTCAGGAGGCCGCACAAAATAATGGTTAATCTGAACTCTGGTTCATAAAGTAGACATGCTTTCTTCCTTAACTCTTCTTTGAGAGCAATCCTGAGACATGCTCTTCCTGTGAGATAAGATTGTATCCAGAATATTATCAGCTATAAAAAAGCCAAGTTTGCTTAATCTTGTAAAGATGGCATCTGTTCCCAGATTGGTCTATACATTAAAGATGTCACCTGTTTCCAAATTAATTTATAGATTTGATGCAATTCCTTTCAAAATCCTAACAGTTTTTTTTATGGAAATTGACAACTGATTCTGAAATTTATATGAAAATGCAAAGGACCAAGAATGACCAATATCCTCATGAAGCAAAACGATATGGGAAGACATTTTCCATCAGATATTAAGACATTAAAAAGCTGTGATAATAGAGGAAGTGTGGTATTGATCCAAGGACAAATAGATGAAATGAAATGAATCAATATTCTGGAAGAGTCCAGAAACATACCCATACACATGTGGAGCCCAGATTTTTTTCAAAGTGACACAACAGACCAGGTGGGGAAGGACAGTCACTTCAATTAAATAAACATCCCAGGGTAATTAGGTGGTGATATGTTTAAAAATATAACTATACCTCTATCTCATACTATGTTTATTCTAAGCCATGATTCCTAAAAAGAATATTGATTTTCCTCCATCATCCTGTTTTGAGAAAATTCCTGAGAAATGTTCCTCCAAAAGGCTTTTTCCCTCCTGGTCCATGGAGAGCTAAATGTGAAGGCTGAATAACAAAAGTTTATTAAATAATGAGAAAAAAAGAAAGGTCTGAATAAAGGAAATGGCTATGGGCCAACTGACAATAATGAAAAGGCTTTTCTTGATGAGTAATAAACCCAGACCAAGCTGAGCCTGAGAAGCCACAGATGACGTTAACAGTTTTAACCCTGTGTTTTTCAAGGGAACAAGAAGAGAGGGAAATTGCTAGAAAACTGGAATGCAGATGCTCCTAGAACATGGCAGTTTCCAAGTATTATTGGCAATTAGTGCATTTAAAAGAGCAGTTGGAACCCTTATCTGATTTCAACAGTAGAGGAAGAACTCCCAGATAGTCCCTAAGAAAGGACCCTCACATAACTTCATTTTCTGTAACACTGCTTTCAGTTTTCTTTCTTTTTTTCTTTTTTAGATTTTATTTATTTCTTTTTAGAGAGGGGGAAGGAGAGAAAAAGAGAGGGAGAAAAAGATCAATGTGTGGTTGCCTCTTGTGCACCCCCTACTGGGGACATGGCCTGCACCCAGCCATGTACCCTGACTGGGAATCAAACCTGCAGCCCTTTGGTTTGCAGGATGGCACTCAATCCACTGAGCCACACCAGCTAGGGCTATTCTCAGGGGTTTTAAATGGATACTTTCGTGCCAAGAACATTTTTTTCTGTTTGTTTTAAAATAGTATCAGAGTTTGGAAAAATGCAAAAATAGTATTAAATATATCCATACACCTTTCACTCCTAGTTTCCCAAAGATTATCATGTTGCCCTGCTTGCCTTGGTATTTTCTTCTTCTCCCTGTAACTTTATCCTTATAATCTTTTCTAAAACATTCAAAAATAAATTGTATACATGGCACCCTTTTGCATTTAGATACTTCAACATGTATGTCCTAAAAACAAAGACATCCTCTTACATAATCACGGTACACTGATACAATATTTATTATGTAATCTACAGATCTTATTCAAATTTTAGCAACTATCCCATTAATATCCTTTATAAGACTCTTCTTTAAATGTTCTGTGACTGTGGTCTTGGTGAAATCATTCCCAGCCTTTTCAGGAAGATGTTGTGATGTACTCAGCACATGCAAAAAGAATTCAAGCCTCATTGATTTTCAGGGAAAAGACACTGAAACCCCCTTTTAACTGTGCATGCAGACATCTGCATTCCCGGAAAGAGAGCCCCAAATGAAGTCTCACTTGTTCCCCAAAGCATGTGTTATCAGAGAAGTTTCTGATTTTTTTTCTTCTTTGTGCAGGGCATTTGCCTGCTGCTTTTCTGATTCCTCAAAGACAGAGAGAACCCACATTAAAAATATCCTGGAAGTTGTTTTTGCTTTCCTCTCACACATCATAACAAAGTAATTTCCTATTTCAAATTTAAAGCAAAAAGGATGCACAGGGATTGTGGGATGTACTAGTTCCTACAAGCAGGTTAGTCTATTCCCAGCTCCTGAGACTACGGCTCCATTGTAAAGGAGTAGTAAGAAACCAAAGGATAACAACCTAAATAAATGCCCATCAGAAAGGGGACTAAATACATTCTAGTGTATAGAGTTAATGTAATACTGTGGAGCCATTCAAAATAAGATGCAGCTGTTTATGTCCCAAAATACATTAAGCCTAATAACAGAAAGTGGGTTAGTCATTTTTGACTCTGCAGAGAGGAATCGGGGACTTGGGGAGATAGAGGTGGAGGAGAGACATTTATAGCAAACCATTTTGTAGCATCTGACTTTCTCATTTTTACCATGTACATATGTTATGTGCTGAGGACGGAGGTCATGAATGGTAGACAGGTAGATAGATGATAGATAGATGATAGATAGATAGATAGATAGATAGACAGACAGACAGGCGGGCAGATAGAATGAATCATGAGTAGGTAGATTTAAGACAAAAAGTTTGAAAAAACAGCAAGTTCCATATTCCCTAGCTGCATCTTTTGTTTTTATTTTTTAAAGATTTTATTTATTTATTTTTAGAGAAAGGGGAAGGAAGGGAGAAAGAGGGGGAGCAACATTAATGCACCAGAGAAACATCTGCGGGTTGCTTCTCCCACGCCCCCAATGGGGGAGGAGGGGCCTGGCCCCAACCCAGGCTCGGGTCCTGACCTGGGATCCAACTGAGATCTTCCATTTTTGCGGAGGGCGGAGGGCGGAGGGCGGGGACCCACTGAGCCACACAGTCAAGGCTTGCACCTTTTGTTTTTAAAGCCGTCATTCCCTTTTCCATTTTTACCACTGTGTAGTCCCCTCTTCTTAGCAGGAGTCTCATGCTCCATTGGGTATAAGACACAAAACAGACTTAATCATGGACACAGTCTGAACAAAACCGCACAGCCTCCAACACACTTTTTTAGACTTGGAAATGTAGGGGGTAGGGGAAGATGAGGAGCAATTCGGGGCATTCTAAGTGGGACCTTGTCTCTCCCCGGGTCTCAAATCGGCATTACCTCCCTCACCCTCCCATTCCTTCTTCCGCCTTACTCCCCACCCCCACTCCAGACCCAGAGCGCTGGACTGGCGCAAATTGCCGCCTACTCGAGCCGCCACCCCCGGGGCCGCCTCGTGACGTCAGGGCTGAGCGAGGGGGCGCCGCCTCCCGGGTGCCCGCCCCCTCCCGTCCCTGCGACCGGTACTTGCCCTTTAAAAGAGCGGGGGCCTGCGCCACACCGCGGGTAGCAAGACGCACGACTGCTTTCCTGGAGCATCTTTATCTCGTCTTCCATCCGCATCTCGCTCCACTGGTCCAGCTGTCATCCTCTTGGCGCAGATTCGGGCGAGCCCGGCCATGCAGCCGGCTGTGCTTCTCGGCCTCCTGGGAGCCACGATGGTGGCCGGTGAGTGGGCGCGGCGGCTTGTTCAGCACCGCGGACAGCGCCAGCCTCTGTCCTCCCCGCGGTCCAGGGAATCTTGGCTGGAGGATACTGGGAAAGAAGGAGGGTTAAGTGGAAGGTTTCTCTCTCTTGCTTGAGGTTCTTAATTTCTGCTCTTTCCTGGGTGTTTCGCTTCAACTTTCCGCTCCACCGACTGACTTGGAAAAAGCCAGAGGTCTTCCAAGCCCAGCCCGGAGAGTCTCAGTCTTTTCATATGAGTTTTCCAATGGATAGGAAGAACAGGAGCCCGTGCCTCCAAGGCACGTTATGCTTACTTCTAAATTGTAAGGCTCTCTCTACCATCTAGAGAGATGCGGTTATAGTCTTATTCTGTATCTGTATATAAGTATTTGTTTGACTTTTTAAAACCAGATAACCAAGGAGTGACAGGAGTACCTATAATGCGATAAAGTCGACACCTGTATATTTCCCTTTGTTGCTGTTATGATATAAATGTGACGAGCTAAAAGTGCATCTCATGTATATAAGATATCATATCTTTTTTATTATCGTGTTTGTATATAGTATATGTATCTGTGTGTTCATGTATATGTGTGTACAGGGTTAGTGTAATATTTTTCTGTATTCTGGAGAGAGGTAACTTCACAGTCAAGTTAATGTATTTTGAAGTTATGAATGGACACTTCAGTAGATATTTTGAGTTTTGTATTCCAGAAAAAAATAGATTATAAAAATAACCACAAAAAGATCCTTGGAGTAGTAAAAAAGTTGTTTTAGTCAATTTAAGAGGATGAAATTTTTGTCTTTTTATAATTGACATCACATGATGAAATACTTGGCAGTGTCTCTTGATGTGGAAGAATGTGGGATTAATCTTTCAAACTAGCTCTGGAGATTGAAAAAAAGAGAGAGAGAGCATGTGTGTTGAAGTAGTCACTAGGAATATTGAGACCATTGAGAAGTAAATAGAACACCACCAGATTAAACTAGAGGTTTTCTTTGGTTGTTTTAATGAACTCATAGGAAAAAATTTTTTTATCTGAGATTGAGATTCTAACCAGATTTGAGGTATTGCTATCCATGAATATTAAGTTTTTATTAACAGCAATTGCTGGATCTAAAATGTAAAGAGACAAAAGGAAAGCTAGTGGTAATTTATTTCATTGCAAGATACATACATCCAAAATTTTCTAAAATGTTTGCGCTTTTACAAACTGCCTATAAATGTTCTCAGTTCAATTAAAGAAATCCAAATGAATAATTTAGAGTCCTTCTGGGCAAAAATACCTTCAGAAAGGCATTGCTTAAGAGGCTAAAGCTGTGCTATATGTTGTGGTATGGACCACAATAACAATGGTATTTGTGAAGCTTATTTAACTGTAGAGGTGAAATACTTACAGCTCCCTTATGTAAGGGAATATTTTAAGGGGGGCTCATATCTTAATATGAGCTAAAATAGAGACATTATATTCTTTAAAATGTTTTAATTGAGCTATAATTCACACACCATAAAACTCACCATTTTAAATTGCATTATTTTGTGATTTTTAGTATATTCACAGATTGTATAACCACTATCAAATTTTGGAACATTTTCATTACCCCCAAAGAAACCCCATATCCATTAGCAGTTATTTTCCACTCCCACCTCTCCCAATGCCTGGAAACAAGATATGATAACCTTCAAGCAGAGTTTGTTATTTAGCAAAATCACAGGGCTGGGAAGAAACTCAGGGAACCATATGGTTATTTTTTATTCTTAAGAGCTTCTGGAGGGAAATCTACACATTTTTACAGTAACTACTGTGCACTCTAAAAATTAATATGAATAACATAGCTGTATGATAGCCATATTATACCAGGTTAAATGGTTTCTGCATTCAGAAGGACTTGCTTAATTTGTTATTTTATAGCTGTATTTTAAATCTGGTATGAAACCTTGATAGTCTTATGAGATATTAATAGTTTGGGTGTTATTTTCAGATTTATTGTACACTATTATTTGAATTTTTTCTAGCATTTGGCTACTTTATTTTAACATAGCCATTGGCTTTTCTTCCGTGCTTCCTGATTCTTTACACAAAAACAAGGTAACTACTTTAGGGGAATCAACTTGTTTTGGTTATTACTTGTTTTGGTTATAACTGTTGTCACAGATTCTGTCAGAAGAAATACAATGGCACTTTTTTGGCTCACCAAGATGCACAACATACTTTTACAAGGAGACCTTAGTTCCTTTCCATCAAAAAGATTTCTGAAGAGCTACAGTCAGAGAAACAATACTATTTTGTAATAATAAATATGAGCTACAAACTGTTTAGAGCAATAAAAGAAAAATATTTATCTCGCTCCAAACCTGATGACTGTTAATACTTTGGCAATATCATTAGTTAATTTAAAAAATGCCTATTTTACATTTGTGGGGGTGAAAAAGAGGGAAGTATTAACAAGAAACTGCAATACCAAAGTTTAGTAAAGCTAGATTTTTAAAAAGGCATCTTCTAGTTTACTACAGAAGGAATTCTCTCAGTAATTTCTTTCCAGAAGACTTACTGATTCCAGGTGGAAAGAGTAAGTGCTAGCCCTGGCTGGCGTAACTCAGTGGATTGAGCGTGGGCTGCGAACACAGGTCACAGGTTCGATTCCCAGTCAAGGCACATGCCTGGTTTGCAGGCCACGGCCCCAGCAACTGCACATTTATGTTTCTCTCTCTCTTTCTCCCTCCCTTCTCTCTCTAAAAATAAATAAATAAAATCTTTAAAAAAAAAGAAAGAGTATGTGCTAAAGTGGGAATGCTCCCAAATAACAGCTTTTGGGGGGATAAAATAGTGGCCCAGCATAGTGGACCCTGGGTGCCAAAAGTGGGCCATCTGGATCTTGACTGAACTGCATATTAGGAAGAACATGGGGTCTTCATACCTTGTTAGCTGCTTCTTAAACATTTTACAGATCATTTTAACATACTGAATAACTTTGGGCTTCTTGAAACAATTGAAGTAGACCCCAGGCTATGCTTAGAAAAGAAAAATTCAGTAAGGTGAATAAATGGAATAGGTGTTGTATTTCTAGGTTGAGCCCTATGATACATAATAGTTGGAGGGGGGCAGTTAAAGAGGCTTGGGAGCAAACATTTTGGGAGGGAAGGTCATGTTGCTGGTTATAAATAAGCTGCATTTGAATAGATTACATCTCCAATGTCTGAGAGTTTTTCTGTCACTCCAGCTAGCTCTTCTCTTATTTCAGGGGCCTAGAAGAATATTCTGCACTGAACTTCTCCTACGGCAGTGCCAGGAGAACTGAGGCGATGAGCCTATATTATATAATTGCTTTGTGCTTGTCCAGTGGAAAAGCTTAGACAACACAAAGCCAAAGGGAAATACAAAAGTAGCAAAACAGCTTTGAGAGAAAAAAGAGAAGGCACTGGAAAATTAAAATTGCCTGAAGCATTTCCTTCCTAAAACATACAAGGTCTGTCCATAAAGTATCCAGCCACATAATATGAAAAATAGACACTTTCTGAAGAAGATACCAGATACAAGAAACATTGTACATAAGACAATGACACCTCAGTCCCCTTCAAAGTAGACACCCTGGAACCTCACACAGTTTTCCCAATCGCCATCAGCTACTCCCATCGTATTTTCCTGAATCTCATCGATGGTCTGAAATTTCTTCCCTTTCAAAGATGACTTTAGTTTTGGGAAAAACTAGAAGTAACAGGGCACCAAATCTGGGCTGTGGGGGGCTGAGTCACCTGGGTGATTTGATGTTTCACAAAAAAACCTCTGCACGAGACATGATGCATGAGTGTGTTGTCATGATGAAGTGACCAATCACCAGTTGCCATAGCTGCAGCCTCCTGAATCATTTGAATAGTTTCTGTGGAGGAGTGTTTAAGCATAACACAAAATTTGATGCAGATTCATTGCTCTACTTTCTCATTTTGGATGTGACAGTCACACAGTACACATGCTTACTCAATGGTGTCTGCCGCCCCCACCGACTAGTACAGTGAAGTCCTCATTGTTCACACATGCACATTCCAGTCCACTCTCCTTGGCTGCCAGGTTACATCGATTTTGCACAAACCATTCTCGTTATATTAACAATGGCTGGGCTTTTTCCAGACAGACCTTGGACTTCAATCTGATTTAAAATAAGCAGAATCTCATGGAATTTAATTTAAATGAATTATTCTTTTTAAATACTCTCATAAGTAGTTGTTAAACTTAAGTATCCTCATAAATAGTTGTTAAACACCTACTTGCACATATTATGGACTTGGAGCTCTACTGGTAGAATTAGATGTGTCCCATGTTCTCTGCATGGCTACAGACAACATAGGGGTGATAGACAGCATTGACTGATACAGATGCATAAGCGAGCTTGTTCAGGCAAAGAGCTGGGGGTAAAAATGGGGTACTTGATTATGTGAGATAGTCATAACCATGTTTTTGTAAAGGAAGTGAATTTGGGAGAGGATTTTTTGGGCGGCAACAGGAATAGGCAAAGGGAATTACAAATCTCTACTCATTTTGAATGGGCAGAAGAGTGGAGGAGGGCACTCTGGTTTCATTTAAATTAGGTTTATTTTAAACTTTTCACTGAAGTATAATATACATATAGAAAACTGCATAGATCATAAGTATACAGCTTAATTAATTTTTTATGTATTGAACACACCTGTGTGATCAGCACCCAGATCAAGAAACTAAACAGTACCAGTATCCCCAAATCTCCCCTTCCTATGGTCCAAATTGATTTATACTGGATATAATTCAGCATTCATTTTCAAATCATGTTGAAGACATTGCCAGGGAGAATAGCTATGTGTGTGTTAGTGTGTGCCTGTGCACGGCTCCTGGGCAATCATCCCCAGCTGTCTTCTCCCTGTTCATCTCTGACTCTGCCCCTCTCTCCAGGTATTGCATGTGCGGGGTTGGGGAAGATTTTGTGTTTGAGTTCACACCACTTTCTAAATCAACTCAGGTCATGTCCCATTCTTTTTCTCTTTCAAAGCGGTCAGTTCTATGCCAGCGGATAACAGGAACCACAGTGAAGAAATGGTAAGTTGAATATACGTGTAGAATCTAGACTTACTAGTGTATCTAGACATCTAGACTCTAGGTTCTCAACTCCTTATTATACCAAATCAAACAAAATAAAAAGTGAAAACAAACAGACAACACAAAAGACAATGTGGTCTTACAAAACCAGGTTTTCATCCCTGAGAGAATGGGGGCAGAGGATGTTCCTCCTTCCCTGGGCTCTCAACTCCTTCCTGGATGAGTTAGTGCCTCTGAGGATAACTGTGTGCTCACACCCTCTTCCTTCCAACTTGCTCAGAAGTGGGTGTTTATTGCTCCTCTCAGAGCAATCTTGGCCCAGTGCTTTCTTGCATTGCTCTGTGGAGAGGCCTCAGAAGTCTCATTACAGTCCTGTAAATCTATATCCCTGCCCCCCAAGGATCCTGCATCAGTACAGGTCACACAGCCAAGCCTCTCTGGACAGCAGCAGCTCTGTGTTGAGTCATCTGCCACCCCATTGATACCAGGCTTTGCCAACGTGCTTTTGGGTTCCCCCCCTCAGGTGACTCGCTGCATCATCGAGGTCCTCTCAAATGCCCTGTCAAAGTCCAACGCTCCACCCATCACTCCTGAATGCCGACAAGTCCTGAAAAACAGTAAGTTTCCTGCACTGCAGGAGACCTTTGTCCCTGGAGTGGCCCTTGCTCCTGCTTCCTCTAGTTCATCTTCCACTCTACTTCCAAATGAACCAGAGATAAAACGCAGTGGGGGAAGTACAGACTAGACTAGTGTCTGGGGAGATGGAAAGATATGGCTTCTAGTCCCTACTCTGACACTTAATATCTTTGTGACCATGGGAAATACCCCTTGCCTCCCTGGGCTTATTTCCTTAAAGGAAAATGAGGGAGTTGAACTCAGAGATAGTCTTTGAGGTGTCTATCATTTGTCAAATTCCTTGGTTCCAGAATTTGGATTTTTAGAACAAGCTTTCATTTGGGTGCAGGAAGATGTGGGGAGTGCTTGTTTGTGACTGGAGGAGGAAGGATTGAGTGTTCTGAGAATGCTGGAAGATGAAAGGGTACAAAGAGATTTTAAAATTATTCTTCTCTTTGCCTTCTATTCTTGACCGTGATGATCTTCCAAGTTAGAAGCTGGGAGAGGTGACTTGGAAACTTCTGGCCTATTTACATGACACATTGGTTAAGTCATTTTAATGCAGAACTTATTCAAAGGGAGGTGCTACCAAATGGTACCAGGATTTCGGGCCTGAGGACTTGAAAGGGTGAGGGTAGAAGCAGAGCATCCAATGAGTCAGAGCAATAACCTTCTTAGTTTAGATGGAGATGTTTTCTCCATGCAAATCAGCTTCTGCTGAAAACAAAATTTGAACAGTGATACAAGCAGTGTCCATTGGGAGTTGACATTAAGAAGTCAATTTTGTAAAACTATGCAGTCTCTTTTATGCATGAAGTCAAACTGATTTGAACAACAACAACAACAACAACAAAACAAAACACTGTTCCCTTCAGCACTTTTCTCTGTTTTTAAATTTTTAGTCAGGCTAGGAACAGCGACTTTTTCTTCTTTTCACCTTCAAAATCTTTCAGTGCAAGATAATACTCTTGCTATTGCTGCACATGAACCCCTGAGCATAAAATGGTAAAAACAGGTATTAGCACCTGACCAAAAGAGTTGCCTGGGGGGACTCAATCCACCATTGGGGGTGTCAGGGTAACTGTAGTAGGTATGGGGGCTCAAGCCTGTATTGGCCCCCTGGATCCAAGTGGAAATTTCTCCATCACTGCCTACACACATACTTACAGAATTTCTCCCCAACTTCCTTTTCCAGCCATCACAGGGAATGAGTAAGGGCAGAGTAGGTCTTTAGGCAGGGACTAAAGAATCCTCCTTTGGGCAAACCCATCTTGCTACCTTTTTCTTCCTTTCCTTGTTTACCAGACAGGTGGGAAAGTTTGAGGTCTGCCATAGTTGGTCATCAAAAACCATGATTGCTTAGGAAAAGCTGTTGTATGAGGGCTCTGCTTGCCTACCAAGATTGGATTCTTAGCCCTAAGGGGTCTTTTGATATTTGTTGTGAGAGCTCCAGGTAAACTGGTAAAAAACAAATGACCGCCTTGGCTGGTATAGGTCAGTGGATTGAGTGCGGGCCTGCAAACCAAAGGGTCACCAGTTCAATTCCCAGTCAGGGCACATGCTTGGGTTGCAGGCCAGGTCCCCAGTGGGGGATGTGAGAGAGACAACCACACATTGAAGTTTCTCTCCCTTTTTTTTGTCCCTCCCTCCCCCTCTTCTAAAAATAAATAAATAAAATCTTTAAACAAAACAAAATGACCCATGTCTATCAGGACCCTGGTGCCATTATATCTGAGGCTGCAGACTCCAAAGCCAGCCAGGGACAGAGCAACAAATAACACAAAGGAATAAGCAGGACAGGAAGACACTCCCAAACTGTAGGATGTAGGTTTCTACCTAAGGGGGAGCAGATATTTCTCAGCTTTAACCCTATAGTGGAGAAGTACAGACTCTGTAACCAGATTTTCATATTTTTTTTCCAAAAGAAGTTAAAATTGGGATTTTAAAACACATCTCCTGGTATTTAAGTATTGTTTCTGAATTAGAATTTATTTAAAATATTATTAAGGCCAAATAATTCACCTGTAGGGCTACCAGTTTGTGACTTCTGTCCTATTCCAGTTTTCTCTCCCTTGCTGGTACATCTTAAACTGACCCAAAGGCTGGTGGGGCTTTTAGCCAACTGGATGGATGAATTGCTTCATGCAGCTTCCCTCCCTCACCTAGTTCATCTCCATCTCCATTGCCAGCCTCTCCAGCACATCTCTGGAGCCAACATACACTTATTGAGCAAAATGAGCATTTGAAGAGTAGGAAAGAATCACTGGTTTATGGCTTGAACAGACATTAGGGAATGTGTAGTGCAATTTCTTAACAGGTATAAGAATCTCTTTCACCAGGTTGATCTGGTCATCCTTGGACCATCATAGGGATGGAACAAGCATTTTCCCCTTTCAACTTGAAAGTAAGAGTGAGCTTTACACCTTGGTTTTACAGATTGACAATGACTGTGCTTGCTAATCATAGATAGGCCTCCTCTGATCTCACCTGCGGGGGCTTAAAGCTAAATTTAGGAGAAAGTGCTAAGCCTCAGGCACAAGTTGCTATAGGCAGCACACAGTTAACTGGAAAAAGGTAAAAATACTTCTGTTCCTGACCAGCAGGCAGTAGGCACAGCCTCTGCCCTGGGAAGCTGAGACCCTGTCTGATCAGTGGCATTATTTCAGCTGATGCTCAGAATGACGTCAGTATCTGGCCAAAGCCTCCCTGCTTCCCTATGCCTACCTGGCCAGACCCACCAGCCTCCTTGCTGCACATATCACTCACCAGTGGCTCCGAAAAAGGCCAAGGCACAGGTGAAGGGCCAGTTCCCAGGTGTCTGGGTGTCTAAGGGTCACGGAGTCAGGGGCATCTCAATTGTCTCATAAAACCCGAGAATGTCCTCATGGCAGGCTGGGCCTTAAGCAGGGAGATACAGACCTTCCACTATTCCTTGGATATCTTTTGCAAAACAGACCATTCTTTTTGTATTTTGTAAATGTCAGTTCAAATGACTCACCAGAGCTGTTTAATAAAATTACTGTGTGAACCACAAATATAATTTCAAATTTTCTAGTAGCCACATTAAAATGATAAAAAGACAAGTGAAATTAATTTTAATAATATATTTAATTTTATCTAATATATTTTACTTAATATATAATTTAGATACTTCCAATAAATATATGATATATATTATCCAATACATTCAAAATAGTCATTTCCACATAAAGTCAATATTAAGTATTGAGATATTTTACATTGTTTTATACAAAGTTCTCAAAATCTGGTGTCTTACACTTAGAGCACATCTCAGTTTGGACCAGCCACATTTCAAGTGCTAAATAGTCACTGGGGGTGGGTGGTCCCTACAATGAAAGGACAGCTCAGATGTGGACACAGAGCTGTGAGTGGCCTTGGATTCAGGCATTCTCTCTGAACTCAGCGATCTCATTTGAAACCCAAATCTCCCAGCTAACAACTCAGAGAGTGTTAATGGCATATCTCCTTTCACAGGATGTCCTTGAACTAAGGAGGATTTAGTAAAGGATCTGTTGACATTTGGAAAAGATGGGGGAGAACAGCATTCAATTAAAATATCAGTTATTACCATCTACTATTGACTCATAAAACACAAGGATAACTCAGTATACGGAGCTTCATCCTCAACTTTGAGAACATGTTGGGCAGATGGGACCCGAGTGAAGGCAGAAATGGCCTTTCCCCTGCTGTGTAGTTTTCTCAGGGGAGAAGTATACACCTTTCTTATCACCAAATACTAAGTAATATTGTCACTTTCTGCTAGGTTGAGTCTACACAGTTGATTGGGTAATGAAAGCCTGATGAAATAATAATTAAAAAATTTTTAATTCTCTTTTGAATACTGATATTTCTTATTTTGGCTATTTAACTTTATTTAGCAGGGTTCTACTTAGAGCTATGAATACAATGTTAACTTTTCAATTCGTACTTAGAGCAAGTATGAAAAGAATGGTTCTAAATCACACCTCTCTGAGTCTCAAGGTCTTAGTCTGCAAAAAGATGAGGTTGAACTAGATAAATCCTAAGGTTTCTTCTGGTTCTAAATTATAATATTTTATTTTTTAATTATGTATTATTAATTATGCTATTATAGTTGCTCCAATTTTTCCCCTTTGCCCCCCTCCACCCAACACACAAATTATAATATTTTATAAACCTATACTTGGATTTCAATTCACTCATTAGTAGTACCAATGAGAAATGCTGCTGGTTAGGTGCTTTGAAAAAATAAAAATATAGAGAGTTTATTATTAGATTGAAACATAGTCATGGAGCTTTCATACCATTTGCTTTTAAAATGAGTATAATCTTCATTAACTTAAAAAATTATCCAAGTGATTTTCAGGGTCCTTAGGATCTATAGTAATCACTAAGGCTGGTACTTGTTGAACTACAAGCAATTCTGAAGTTATTCTTACTCTTTTTAAATTTTCATTACAGGTGGAAAAGAGGTTAAAGATGAAGAGAAAAGTAAAAATGAAAACACAAGGTTTGAAGTAAGATTGTTAAGAGACTCAGCTGATGCCTCAGAAGCCCGAGGGCCCTCCAGCAGGGAGGACACAGGAGTCCCAGGGGAGATGGACACACAAGGCCCATCAGTGGCCAACACAGAGGGAGGTGGGCACAGCCGAGAGGGAGCAGGCGAGTCCCAGGGGAGCCTCTACCCCTCTGACAGTCAAGTCTCCAAAGAAGTAAAGACATACCATTCTGAGAAGAGTGAGGGAGAGGACAGGGAGGAAGAGGAAGGAGAGAAATATCAGAAAAGAGAGCATGGGGATGGTGGCAGTGAAGAGAAACACCTAGAAGAGCCAGGAGAGACACCAAATGCCTTTCTTGACAAAAGAAATCAGGCCACAGCTAAGAAGGAAGAGGAGGTAGTGTCCAGATACGACACACACTCGGCCAGGCTCCCTGAGGAAAAGACACACAGCCAGGAGAGGAGTAGCCAAGAGAGTCCAGAAGAGACAAGGAGCCAGGAGAAACACGTCCAAGAGTCTAAAAGTCAGCCTGGGAGCCAGGAAGAATCTGAGGAAAGTGAGGAAGATGCCAGCCACGAGGTGGACAAACGACGCTTGAGGCCACGACATCACCATGGGTGGAGCAGGCCTGACAGGTCATCTCAGGAAAGGAATCCTCCCTCTGAGGCAGGGGGACAACCCCATGAGCAATCTGAGGAGTCAAACGTGGGCCCGGCCAGCGTGGGGGACAAGAGGGGCCATTATCCCACCCACGACAGGGCTTCAGAGGAAGAACCCGAATATGGGGAAGAAGTGAGGAGTTACTATGCAGGCGTCCAGGCTCCTGAGAGCCTGGAGGGGGCACGATATTGGAGCAGAGGAAGTGAGAAGTACAGGGCTGCCAGGCCTCCCAGTGAGGAGATCCAGGAGGAGCAGGACAAGAGAAATCGCCCCAACTCAGAGCATGACAACACGGCACGTGGATATGGTAAGGACAGCGAGGAAGAGAGGGGCCCAGAGTGGGGGTACCGCTACAGAGCTAGGGGTGGGGAACATGGTGCCTATTCTCCTCCAAACAAAGAAGAGAAACGATTCTTGGGTGAAGGACGCTACCGTGTTCAAGAAAACCAGATGGACCAGGCACGAAGGCACCTACAAGGGGAGTGGCAAGAGCAGGACAGAAACTACCTCAACTATGGTGAGGAAAATGGTGAGGAAGGAGCCCACGGGCCGTGGCAGCAGCAGGAGGACCTGCAAGACACTAAAGACAACAGGGAGGAAGCTAGGCTTCAAGGCAAGCAGTATGCTCCCTATCACACCACCGAAAAGAGGAAGAGATTAGGGGAGCTGCTCAACCCGTACTACGCCCCTTCCCAGTGGAAGAGCAGCCGTTTAGAGAGAAAAGGCAACACGGATGACAGTTTACTGGAGGGTGAAGAGGGAAATGGCCTGACCTTGAATGAGAAGAATTTCTTCCCAGAATACAACTATGACTGGTGGGAGAAAAAGCCCTTTGAGGAGGATGTGAACTGGGGATACGAGAAGAGAAACCTCGTCCCCAAACTGGATCTGAAAAGGCAGTATGACCGCGTGGCTGAGCTGGACCAGCTCCTGCACTACAGGAAGAAGTCGGCCGAATTTCCTGACTTCTATGACTCCGAGGAGCCCCTGAGGCTGCGCCGCACCTCAGACAATGAGAAGGATGCGGCTCGCCCAGGAGTGCTGACAGAGGAAGAGGTACCGTGTGGGGATTTTGTTCAAAATTAACTTAGGATGGTAATGTTGATATGTTTGAGACGGTCTGAAATTAATAGGGAGACACTGGTGGGGATTAGTCACCATGATAACGTAACCCTACTTAACGGAGTGGAGACAACACCTGGGTTTGATTTCTAATATCTAGCCATTGTCCACATTGCTGCCCACCTCATCCTACTGCTGCGCTTCTCAACCTTGGCCACATACTGCAGTCACCTCAAGAGCTTGAAAAACTACTGATGCCTGGGACCCACCCCCCGAGATTCCACTGGGAACGGGGGGCTGACGGGGCATCGGAATTTTTGAAAGATCCCAGGTGGTTTCAATGTTCAGCCAAGGTTGACAACTGAGTGTTCTGGTGTCTTCCCTTCGTTATTTGACTTTGCATCACTATTTCCCAGGGTAGGAAAAAACAGATGGTAAAGAAATTAGTTGCTTTGGTCTATCTTTGCCAGCTTGTGACCTGTAACCATCCGAAATTTACATCTGGAAGAGGTGACATTAATTGAGCTGTCCCCTTTTCCTCATATTGACTATGTAGGTGATTCTCAAATCTGAACGTGCATCAGCATCATGAGGGATTCCTAGCTTTCACAGTTTGTGATTCAGTAGGTCCCATGTGGAATCCAGGAATCTGCACTTCTGACAAGTTCCCCAGTGGTGTTGGGTGTCTCAGCCTCTAACACATCAAAAATTCCCATTTATACTACCTTAAACTACAACAAAATAAATTAGTCTAGGACCTCATGCTTTTATTTATTTATTTTTTTTTGCGTGTGTTTTCCAGGAAAAAGAACTTGAAAACTTGGCTGCAATGGATTTGGAGCTACAGAAAATAGCTGAGAAGTTCAGTGGTAATCGAAGGGGCTGATGGTTGTTGGAGCCAAGGGCCTGTTTAAGAAGTAGGCTTCACATCACCTGTTCCTACCACATAACTGAGAGACACCATTTATTTACCCAGAGGCAGAAAGTAGAATTTACTATTTATTAAGTGCTTGAGGCAATTAGAAATGTCTTTAATTTTTGCCAGAATGCTATTGAAAATAAGAATAGCATGACTTGTAGCATATTCTTTCTCTGCAAAAATTGACCTATTAACATGCTTGTGACAATGACTGTGCTACCATCCTTGAAAAAAACGTGTTTGCATCTGTTTAAAATAATAAAAGATTCACCTGAAGCCAAAAAGCTTCATGTTCTCAGATTCCTTTGGGCTAACAGAGAAGAATGTGATTTTCAAATCCATTCTTTAAAGTGAATTGTAAAAGACTACACTACTAGGATGTAGAAGCCTTTGGATGCAGAATTTTTTTAAAAAAGTGAAAATTTCAAGAATGTAAAGAGAAAGAGATCAGGAAAACACAGCCATTCCCCTAGGCTAGAGGAAGATGAAATAGGCTTGAAGAACCTGTTTGGAAAAGAAAAAAAAAGCCCAAGCATAAGACACTACTGTAAAAATTCTGTTACCTGGAGGCATCTGGGAGTATCTGGCCAATGGTCAGTTTTCACAGCCAAGGAGAAAGCCTGGGTAATTGGGAAGAACTCTGGATTGGGAATCACAACATGTGGGCTGGCCCAGAAAGATGCCCGGATCCTCAGGGCCTGATTTCTATTGTAAGCAGGCAGGACTTGGACTCTGGTACCAAGTAGCTTTGGATGAGTTATTTTCCCTCTCTGGACCTCAGGTTCATCAGTAAAATAAGGCCATCTGTCTCATTGGGTTGTTATGAGAATGATATGAATTTCTGCACAAGACTCAGAGCAGTGCCTGGCATATAACAGTGGTGCAGGAAATGTAGCCGCTGCCATTGTTACACCCACAGCTTCTTACAGTAAGACAGTTGGACAATTCCTCCTTCTCCCTCCTTTTACCTGTCTTTTGATTCCTCACCAACGAGTGCTTCTGCTTGGTTGATTTCTACTGTTTTGACAGTTCTGGTGAAGAGCTGTTTTCAGGAGGTAGCAAAAGTAAGTCTGGGGATCGTATATGGCTTATATTCATCCAGGAAAGCCTGATTCTCCTTCTGATAAAGTCAAGAATTATCTGTGCTGATTTAACCAGATTATTTTAGATTAATGTTCAGTCTCATACTACTGCAAGAGGGTTTCAGCCTGCAAGTCTGTTTCTCTTTCTCCCGTCTCTCACACACATGCGTACACACAGTGGACACTGCTCACAGGGAGAAGCTGCTGGCAGATAGAGCAAAGCACTGCATGACACCCAAGCTTGGTGACGGTTCACACAGCTTCCTCCTGGCCCACACCACCTTGCCAATGCCCCGTGCATTAGCACATGCTTTTATTTTAGTTTGCAAACACTTCAGGGCAGGGGAGTGTGTGGGCACAAATGATCTATCAGGGATGCAGGCAACACTAAGAGAATCCTGCCTGGTTTGTGTGCCCAGCAGAGTGCCATTTGGGTCTCGGGATGCCACAAGGACTACCCAGAACCACTGATTTCTTTTTTTAATTGAAATGATATATGGCCCTGGCTGGTGTGGCTCAGTGGATTGAGTGCCAGCCTGCAAACCAAAGGGTCACTGATTTGACCTAGTTTAGGGCACATGCCTGGGTTGCAGGCCAGGTCCACAGGTGGGGGCACTCGAGAGTTAACCACACATTGGTATGTCTCCCTCCCACCCTTCCCCCGTCAATAAATAAATAAATAAATAAAATGATCTATATTAATGCTTAAAACATCAAGTTTATGACAAAAACACTCTGGCTGTAGGGAACATGAGGGCAGAAATGCAGACGCCAGTAAGTGATGGTAGGGAGGAGCAGTTACACTCTGGGTCTGTTTAAGAGAGCCATGGCAGGTAGAGCTGATAGATTTGACGTGGCATGAGGGAAAGAGGAGTCACAGATGATGTCAAGGTTTCAGGCCTGGAGAAGAGAGGTGGGGAGACTGCAGGAGGGACTGCCTTGAGTTGGGAGGTGTGGGCAGCTCGGGTGTGTGAAGTTTAACATGTGACTCCACACCAAGTGGAAGTGTTGAGTTGGGTATTTGGGCCTGGAACTCAAGGAAAGGTCTGTGCTAAAGACAATGTGGGAGTCACCATCATAGAGATGGGATTGAAAGCCTTCAAACTGGGGAGATCGCCTCGTGTTACACAAATGAGCCCAGGACAGCCTTTGTGCATTGGCCCCCAGGTGGGTTATTTTCTTCACTGCAGGCTGAGAACTGTTAGCTCAAAAGCCTGCCAGTGCCACACACAAATTTTACACATCATTTATTTTAAACATTGTCCGCATGAGCAAATGTGTAGACATTTAGGGCCTACCTGCTTTGCATACCTCCGCTAAACACCACCCAGCATCTGCTGGCCATTGATAAAATAGTCTTGCAGTTATAAAACCCTGAGCCTTGTAAGTTATACGACTGTTGCTCCTTAGAGCTCTCAGACCCAGCAACTCCCTGCCACACTGCTGAGCGACACTGCCAGACACAAAAGGTACCTCTCCGATTCCCCTCTCCCAGGGAGTTCCCTTGTCCCCCTCACCTCAGTAGCAAACCCAAGGTGTGGCTTCTAGACAGATTCCTGCTGTGAGGGACATCTCCCCCTACATTCAAAACCTGTTAGGTGTCACCTGGTAGAAGAAAAAGCATGTGTGTGCTACTGCCACCTTATGGTCATATCCGTCTTTGATCATTTCCCAAATCCCTTCACTGATGGAGCAAGTATGGACAAAAGTAGACACAAAAAAATGAAGAGGTGCAACTGATGACCCCTAGGGTACACCAATGTTTCTCTAAACATTCATCTCAGAGGTGATGAGGAACTAGTAACAGAGATGGAGGTAGAAAGGCCAGAAGGACAGGAGGGAAACCAGCAGAGTGATGTCCTAGAAGCCAAGTGACAAACCACAGCAAGGAGAGGGGTCAACCTGCTGGACACTGCCAGGTCTGGAGGACCCAGAAGAATCACTAAAAGCCATGGTCACCACACGCTTTCTTAAAGGGCCAGATAGCACATATTTTAGGCTTTGAGACCACATGGTCTCTGTCACAACCATTTGACTGTGCCATAGAACAAAAGCAGCCAGGGACAATACATAAACAAATTAGCGTGGCTGTGTTCCAATGAAACTTCATTTCCAGGCACTGCAATCAGAAAGTCGTGTAACTTCCACATGTCACAAAATGATTCTTCTTTTGTGCCCCCACCAACCATTTACAAAATGGAAAAATCACTTTTAGCTTGCAGGCCATACAAAGACCTGGCAATGAGCCATACTAGGCCTGTGGGCTTTTGCCGACTTATTTTTTTTTTTAATCCTCACTCGAGGACATTTTTTCATTGCTTTTAGAGAAAGAAAAGGGAGAGATAAAGAGAGACATCAATGTGAAAGAGAAACGTTGACTGGTTGCCTCCTTGTATGTGCGACTAGAGACCGAACCTGCACCCTGGGTGTGTCCTGACCCGGAATCAAATCCACAACTTTTTGGTCTATGGGACCAACCAACCCACTCCGGCCCGGGCTGCTGACAGGATTTACATCAATCGTATCTCTTATTTTTGCCTCATCTCTTCCTTGTGCCTGTCACCCCACAGCTTTAGCTACCTCGTGTCACTCACAGGTGATGGAAAAGAACTGGGAGAGACCACTGTACCCACTTGTGGAAAGCACTCCCAAAAGGCTAAGAAACTTCTGCTCTCCTTACCTCCACCCTCTGGATTAATTTCTCCACTTTTGGTTTAGAATTTGTTGGTTTAGAATGCCAACACTGAAACAGATTGAGCCCACTCACATTTTGAAACAAAATTCTTTAACACATTGTCACATGTCAATGTGAAATTGAAATGTCAGGGATCTTTCTGGTCTTGTTTTACTATCTCAAGTAAATGTAACTGCCAGAAGCCTCTATTTTAATGGAACTGTGAAAGAGGCAAAGAAGGGGTGGCGTATATGAGATTATTTCCTATGCTTCAGAGATTTTGCCTGTTCTCATAAAGGGTTAAGAAGCAGTGAATATCTAATAAATGTTAATGAGGGTTATCAGTTGCTTTTCAAATAGCTAGCTGTTCAGACACTTACATTTCTTGCCATCTGACCTGTGCTACAAAGTTAAATCCAACAAAAAAAATCTGTAATCTGTTTTACAAAAACAGAGGCAACATTATATTTAAAGACATTAGATACTCAGGGGACCTTTCTAGAACTGCACTTAAAACCTTCCAAAATCAGCAACACTTAGAACAGCAACTTTCAATGTTTTTCATCTCATGGCACACATAAATCACTAAAATTCCGTGGCACATCAAAAATATACTTTTGCTGATCTGACAAAAATAGGTATTAGTTTGATTCATTCACACAGGACAGCTATTGTTTTGGCTGTTGTCATTTTTTTATTTGACAATTTAAGGGAAGAGGTCAGTGTCCCTGACTAAACAGTCAGGTACTGCATGTTTTGAAAATTCTTGCAGCACATTGGTTGAAAATTGCTGATTTAGAACATAAATCTTTTTTTTAGTTTTTTTAAAGATTTTATTTATTTATTTTTAGAGAGGGAAGGGTGGGAGATAGAGAGAGAGAGAGAAACATCAATGTGTGGTTGCTGGGGGTCATGGCCTGCAACCCAGGCATGTACCCTGACTAGGAATCAAACCTGCGACACTTTGATTCGCAGCCCACGCTCAATCCACTGAGCTTTACCAGCCAGGGCTTAGAATATAAATCTTAATGACCAGTTTAGGAAATGCCTTTTAGTATTTAGTGTTGCTCTTGCAGTATTTAAAACCAATGCTTTAAAACATAATGCAAACACTCTAGCCTTTTTCAGAATTTTGTACATTTGGAGGGGTGTCCTAAACGTCCCCCCTCCCACTGAGTGTACAGCTATCCATGGCCAATTCATTCTGAGAGAAATCTAGAAGCTAGCCACATGACTTCCACACATCAGATGACTATGTCCGTACTGAAGTGGGAAGAAAAGGTCGAGACACACTCCTGGCATAAAGTCTACCCCTGGCCCAGTGCCAGACAATTGAGGGGGAACCCTAAACTCTCAGCTTATTCTTGCACCCCAGCTTTTTGGAAAGCCGGTGGGGCTTGTGCCCACGAGACCCACAGGAGGAGGGCGAACAAAGCAGCAGTTCTCGGCTGCAGGTGAGCACTTACCACAACTCTCTCTACAGCTCAGTGCTGAGGGAGCAGCAAAAAAACTCCGTCTCCTAGTTTCTCCCTGGAAGAGGCTTAATCATTATTTCCCAGCTGCTGCCCGAGAATCGAGCTCATTATCAGTCTGCATTTAGGCACTGACAGCAGTTCTCCCCTTTGGGACACAGAGGGCTTGGTGCTGGCACACCCTCAATACCTGGGAGCCTCTAAGAACAAAGATGGCAGCCTGGACAATCACAAAAGTTTGAGAGACAAACCAGGAGCTCGGACTGGGCTGATTGATGAAGTTCATTTCCTACATGATACCATCAGTCTGTCCAGGCTGGAGAGGTGGCTGCTGTATCTAAAGCGCAGGCACCAACACAGAGTGAAGGACAATGAAGAAATGGAGGAATATGTTCCAAACAAAAGAACAAGATAAAGCTCCAGAAACATGTTAATGAAACAGAGGTAACTGGTTTACTTGATAGAGAGTTCAAAATAATGGTCATAAAGGTGCTCACCAAGGTCAGGAGAGCAATGCACAAACAAAGTGAGGAGTTTAACAGACATATAAGATATATACATAAGCACCAAACAGAAATCACAGCTGAAGGAATTCATCCACTAGCCCAGCCTTACAAATGTTAAAGGGGGGTCTTCACGCCGAAATGAAAGTTGCTGACCAACTATTTAGTAACATGGAAACATGCGACAGTATCAAACTCATTGATAAACAGTTAAATTCACGATAGTCTCACTTATACTCGTAATTCTAAAAGACAAAAAAATTAAAATAACTATAACTAAACAAATTTAATGGATACTCAATTAAGATGTAAATTGTGACATCAAAATCATAAAATGCAGTGTGGGGCGCAAAACTGTAGGGCTTTTGTTTGTGGGTCTATCTGAAGGGAATGAAATCATGGCCTGGAAAAGATGCCTGCACCCCCATGTGCACTGCAGCATCCTTCACAAACACAGAACACGGAAACAAGTGTGTCACCGAACAGATGGATAAAGATGTGAGATATCTCTCTCTCTCTCTCTCACACACACACACACACACACACACACACAATGGATTTACTATTCAGCAATGAGAAAAACAAGAAATCCTGCCATTGGCAATGTGGATAGACCTTATGGTAGCCATTACGTTAGGTGAAATAAGCAAAAGACAAATACTGTATGTCATTTGTATGTGTAGTGCAAAAAGCTAACTTGTAGGAACAAAGACTAGAATGGTGGTTGCCAGGGTCTGGGGGCAGTGGTGGGGAAAATGGGGAGACATTGGTCAGAGGGTACAAACTTCATCATAAAACTGGTAAGTTCAGGAGACCTAATGTACATCATAGTAAGTAGAGTTAACAATACTGTATTATATCCCCGAAAGCTGCTAAACTTAACTGTTTTCACCACAAGAAAGAAATGGTAATTATGTCATGGGATGGACGTTTTAGCTAATGTTATGATGGTAATAAATTTGTAACATGTGTTATCAAATCAATACATGCTCACCTTAAACTTATACAATGCTATGTGTCAGTTATAATACAGCTGGATAAAAAGATTTCATACAATTTTAGTGTCCCTCTAAGCTAAAAAGAAAACCTAATTGGCACCAGTGTATATTCCCAAGTCCCTAATGCAATGAAGAAATAAGATGGACATTACATAACGGTTATCTTTACTTTTTGACTGTCCCTCATTATATTTCACGTAACTCTTCTGGTGGCTGGACATGCAGAAGTCAGAGTTATCCATTTATCTGCTCCAAAGGTGGTTGTCCACTTTACTAACAAGACATAAACATTGTACACTTAGCGGCACTCATGATGTGGGTGTACAAACAGGTGTCTCTGTGAGTTGTTTTTGGGCTAGCAGCACCAGCATCCCCTGGGAACTTAGAAATGCAGCTTTTGCCCACCCCAGACCTACTGAATCAAAAACCTGGGGGCGGGGCCCAACAATCTGGGTCTAATAAGCCCTCCAGGGGATCCTGGTGCACACTCAAGTTTTCAAACCACTTAAATCATCAGTACTCAGTGATGAAGTCAACTACATTGAGAGAAAAATAACTCTATCTAGGTTAGTGTTAACTCAATGCTGGTGTGAGACCAGTCCACAAGGTAACTGCAGGGGCAGCTGTGTGGGTGCACAGGGCCTTGGCAGTGCAGACCCCCAGACTGAGTGGAATGGGAAGGGACAAGGAGACTGGCTGAGCCCCAAGGTGGAGACGGTTCTGATGACAGTGACGAGTGGTGACCAGCCACTACTGAATCCTGTCTCTGCACATTTTGTGTCCTTTTGATCAAATGTGACTGGCTATATATGGGTGACAACTGCAAGGGCTGTTTGCAAAGACAAGTTCAGTGAGGTGCCAACCAGGGCATGTTTTCTTACACTGACCACGTGTCACAATCAGCTGGAAGCCAGTGAACGCGGTGTCACAGCCGGCATCATTAATGTCAGGCCAAAGGATCACAGTAGGAAACACTTTTATTCTTCAAAAGCAGTTATTTTAAGAAAAAAGAATCAAAACTGTACTTGGTAATCACACTGGCCATCATCAGAACAGTACATGCTATTAGGAAAAAGCAGTTTCTTTTTTTTCTGAGATGCTCCTCGCTGGAAGATCTGCATCTATACTGTAACAGTGTGAACAATACACATGATGAGTGTTTACTGAGCAAGACTCATGGCTCTTGCCTTGGCTTACTTTAAACACTTTTCTTGGCTGCAGCAGATAACCAAATAATTTGATTATATTTTTCAGAGCTTAGAAAGACTAACCACCTAATCATGCCAGAGCTTAACAAACCAGCATTAATAATCACCAAAAAAGGCACTTTAAAATACATTTGACAAGGAGTGACACTAATGCAGTAACTGGTCTAAGCCCTGCACTAAACTTTGTCAGAGTTCCTAGAGATAATGCATTCTGGCTCCACATATGTGTGTATATATAAATATATATGTATGTGTATATACTGACATCCATATACAGCAAATCCTCAAATAACATCAGTTCATTCACTATCACTTCATTATTACACTGATGAGATGCCATAAGAACTTAACTCTTGTTTGTATGAACTAGCCCATGGTAAAACTGGTTTCAGTATATATCATTCTGCTTAAAGTCGCAGAATCTATAGACAACGTTGAATGAGGACTTACCATATGTATATATGTGTATACATCTATCTCCATAAGTCTCTGGGGAGTTAAAAACCATGTTTCCTTTCATTGAATAGTGCACCAAAATTCTAATCACTTTATTTGGAACAAAGAATGAAGAGATTGCTGAGTTAATGCAAAAAAGTACTGTATTACACCTTTCTATCAGTAAAAAAAAAGGAATAAAATAAATACTTTACTTTCCTAGATCATCAACTATTAAAATAAGAAAATCTAGCATTTTAAAAAAGTTTATTCCACTGTAGGGAACAGGCCATTGTACCAAACATGTACCAAAACAGGACATTTTTTGGTACTGTAAATCTAACACTCACACATCTGTATTGCTTAGGTTTCAGAGAGTGGAATGAACAAGGAATTTCTTCTACAAATTCCTTCCTTTAAGTACCCACCAAGTTTTAGCTATGTTGTGTTATTCCACTTAGCTTAACACAGTCTTGTATAAATATATTTTTAGGATGTCTAAATTCTCCATTTCTGTACAGAGTACTAAAAGTACTTGCAGCAACGTTGTGAAATAAACAGAATTGGCCATAGCTCAGTCCACCGCACACCCCAGGTTTGGGTATTTTGGCTCAAGGTTTTGACAGACCAAACCCATCTGTGTCAGAAGTGAACACAAGACTTACTTATTTTTCCCAGGAACAGGTGTACAAACATGATCTTAGGTTAGAATATGAAAAACTGATTAGTGATGACATCTTAAATTTAATTACTAACTGTGCAATGCCTGAGAACAAAAATCAAAGCAACTTTTGAAGATTAGGAGTCAGACTCCAGGTATTTCCACTTTTTAGCTGCTGGCTCTTCAGTCTCATGTAATTCTAAAGTGCTCGAGTTGGATTTGAGACTGGGGTCTGCTTTAAGGTTTTCCATGGCAACAGTGAAGCCTGAGAGAAGGTACCCCCCACCTCCACTCATCAGTAGTTTGGGATGGCTTCGATCTGGCAAAACCTGAATAAGACAGAAAGACAGACACTCATGTTTTCCCAAGCAGGTAAAGAACATACTAACAATAAACATGCCAGACATCAGAATTTAAATGACACAGATTCTCTTGAAGATTTAAACAGACCAGTTTTTAAGGAGCTCCTTCCTTCAAATGATAGTGCTGATAAAAGTAGATAAATTGGTTTAAGTGATTTTCTTTTGAAAAATAAAACTGAAGCTGTTTCTCTTAAACCTGACACAACTTTTTGGTGGCAAATGAGCAAACAGCTTGCATAGTGCTCTGGGCCTGTGAGTGGCTTTCTTGTCCTTGGCTCCAGGATGCTTTATGGCCAACGGCGGAGCTTGGGTCCATGGAGATGTAGCCACTGGACATGCACTCACAGCCCCCCTTTCCTAATGCCCTGCTGACTCTGACAAGGCTTCTCTCCTGCTACTAGCCAAATAAGATGGCTGCCATGAAGGGCAGGATGGCTCAGGGCTGGAGTGTCCTGTGTTATGCAAGGACACTCCAAGCTTCAGGGCAGGGCCTGTGGCAGCATGGAGATGCTCCCTCAGATCTCTCTTCAAGAGGGAACTGGCTGTGAGGATTTCAAGCAGCAGAAGGCCTTTAGCAGCTTCCCCAGCATTCACTCCCAGGGAGGCTATGGGCTGCTCCAAGTTGAGAATGGCATATGGCCACCAGGACTGCACCATTTCTGGCCAATACAGGGCTCCTTTACTAGGAAGTCTTTGCTCTGGGGCTTTGCACGATCCTGGCTGAGACTTTCTCCCTCCCCTACCCGCTTTGCCCCTCTTTCACAGCCACCAGACCTGCACCATGGTCTGAAGGCTCTCTCTGCCGCCCCAGTCCTGCTCCCTCCCTGCTTATCATTCAAAGGCATTTCCCCGATAAGTCTATTACACTTCTAATTCCACTTGACAAATGCCTTCCTGAACTGACCTGAACTGACAGAGCCCACCGGTAAATAGTGAAAACTTGCTGCAAAGACACTTCAGCAGACAGGAGAGGGTCACTTTCTTGGCGTGGGGATTTTGCAATTATTAGTCATTCCCTCCACAGTGATCTGGAGGCCTTAAGTAAACACAACCTCAACAGTTTGCACTGTAAATGTCTCTGAATTGGAGTTACTGAGTAATAGATCTTGACATAAAAAGAGAAAAGAAGGGCCAGGCCAGATCAGGGCACTTTCTCTGGCAAAACCTGAGACCTTGATGCTGGCCTTGCACCTCAATCTCTCTTTCCTTGTCAGGTCTCCTTAGCCCTCACATCAGACAGTTTCATATCAATCTGAGTTATAGGCATGAGACTGTTTCATCTCTGTAAACAGAAACAGGGATATCCATATTTAACAACTCCCAGCAGTACTACGGGGAGCCAGAGACTTGGGCGATCAGCTCCTGGGCCTGGCTGTAAGAACGTATACCTGGTAATTCCTGAGCCAGGTTTCAGACAACCGGAGGTTGATGACCCCTCCTCTTTCCCGCAGTTTTGTGTAGCATTCCAGCAGAGGCTGAAGGCATAAAGAAAGTTCTATTAAGAACTAGTGCTTGGGATACAATTTGAGAATCAACACTTGAATACAAGAATTCCCCTCCACTCTGTTTTAGCATTACCTCTTTATACTGACAGTAGACCACGAACGGCCTTGAAGGGGCCACGAAATCCAGCAAAGACAGCAGCAGTGGAGTGGGATGGAAACGACTGGCTACAATTAAACTGCAAGAAAGATGTCAGAGATGTTATTCTCTTTGCTCCCAAAATGGAACATAGGTTTTAGAACACATTTACAATGATCATGCACTTATTTGCATCACTTTTACACAAGGAAGAGCTTTAAATACAACATTCCAAAATTTCCAGATAAAATCATGAGCTACTAATTTCTAGGAAGCACAAGCTGAATTATAAGTTCTCAAGGTGTTTGGCAACTCCAAGTAGCATTTAACATTCTTGATTTAAGAGAATCACCTGGAGTACACTTGGAACCTGTAAAAATTTACTAACCAATGCCCCACCAGTAAATTCAATTAAAAAATCATCTGGAAATAAATCCAACCTTGATGCTGGCCTTGCGCCTCAATCTCTCTCTCCTTGTCAGGTCTCCTTAGCCCTCACATCAGACAGTTTCACATCGATCTGAACGCCCCCGCATCTGCATGTAGGCAGGACTACACATCCCCGGCTGATGCACCATCATTGGAGAAATTTCTTTAAAGACTCCAAAACCAGCACAATTTCCTACCTCTACCAGATGCAGCCTCCTTTCTTAAAAAACCCAAGACAGAATCATCGTCTCTGCTCCCATAGAATCAAAGCAGACAAGCAGAGAATGCTAATCTGTTTGAAGCAGAGCCTACAAACAGCAAGATGTCACCTGCATTCTTTCACCAACGCACCCGTCTGCGTTCCTTTCACTCAGCAGAGCAGCAGCCTCTAAATGTCTTTTCCTCTGCTCTTCTTGTCTCCTCTGCTTTTCTTGACTCTTCAAGAAAAATAAGAAACCGAAGTACTGAGGTCATTCAGACATGCTTATGGAAACATTGGTCTGTCAAAACATTTCAAAAACATTTATCAACTCGGACTAAAGCAGCAGAAGGTCTTATAAATGTATAAGGAAGCTGAAAACACAAGAAAACCCTTATGTTATAGAATGATCATTATGCTACCTCTATACAATGTTTCTGTATCATAAAGCTCCATCCCACAGACTGTATCACACATGTGTGTACACCCCCATACACACTCTTTCTCCATCTGTTTTAGTATTTATTATTTTGGCTGCAAAGCCAAATCAAATCTCAGTGCTTAAATGGGGTTAACTTAGGTCCTGAGTGGAGTATTATGAGGGCAGGGGGACTCTTTAACATCCTTACATAATCCTTTTTGCTTCCTCTCTCTTTAGGCTCCTTGTAGGCTGGATCTGGAGAGATAATCTCCACTGCTCCCTGTTCTTTGGGGTGGTTGCTCTCTGGGGCCTCTGCCGTGCTGTCTTCGTTCTCCTGTTCTGAAGTCTGTTTTTCCTCCAGTGTGTCACTACTTTCTTCAACTGAAGCACTGTCTTTTGGCTCCGATGACAACATCTCAGCAGAGAATGTTCCATTTAGGAGACTGCCCACTTTGTTGAGGGGGAATTCATAAAGACCACTCAGGAAAGATTTGGGAAATCCAAAACATGCTGTGGCTGCCCGAACTGGTCCACCTCCAGGGTACAGCTGAATAATGGAACCAAAACCTGAACAGATAAAACAAACATCTCTTGATGAAGATGACTCCAGATTTTGCAAATCCTCAGGGTCCCCCATAGTAAGAAGACTGAAGGTCTTTACTTGACTCTGTTCAGTGGCTGACAGATGAGATGATGCAGCTCCTCTGGGAGTTTATAATCTATGAATATCCCCAATGGATGTAATGTAATTCCAAAACAGGTAAACAGAAAGTCTTAAACAAGTTTACTCCCACCTGACACTACAGTAAAACTGTGAGCTTGCAAATCTGGATGTCACGTGATTGGTGACTGCTTCTCAGCTTTCCCCCAGTCCAATGACATTACTTTCAAATAAGAGAGTTAAAAGTTCTTATGTTCTAAAGATAAGTGGGGTCACAGAAAGAGCAGCCTAATCAGGTTGTACTATATCTTCCAACAGAGAATACATTCCTAGTATTTTCCCCCATTCAATTCAGGCCAATAAAATGAGCAACAGCTATACAAGAGTTTTCTGAAATCACTGCCCTGGAGGTCTTAGCCAGCCACAGTGTTCAGAACCACCCCCACTGCTACTGAAGCAGGGAAGGGCAACTGCTGTCCAGGGGCGCCAACACAGCGTGGGCTGGGAGATGTGGACCATGCAGAACGGTCCCAGGGACTGGAGCTGCCCAGGCCCAAGTCACTTCAATAACCTCATAGTAATTCAACCGCACTTTCCATGAGATTGAAATTTTAATTTTTTTAGATTCCTTTACTCAAAACGTGAACTTGAAAATGTTAAAACTTACCTCCCATTCGTTCCATCATTGCACCCAGCACTAAGCCTGCACACGTTTCCATTACGATCATTTTATTGCCAGCACGAATATTTCCCAATGTCAACATCTGGGCTAGTGTATCATATCTCATGTGGCTATGAAAAAAAGAATAGTTCATTCATTTTTGGCAAAGCAAGGTCTGTAATTTTAATAATCATTTTTCAAGTTTTGTCACATTAAAAAGCATGTTGATAAGATTATTGATTGCTTTGGCAGCAATGGTAAAAAGAACTTACAATTTATGGGGTAGGAGAATATTTTATGCAGGTGAGCAAGTTTTTGTTTTACTTAAAATCATGACTTTCTTAAAGATAAATTCTCCCCAATTATACTTTTGAAAGGAAACAAAGCGTACTTAATTTTTCCAGGTTCTCTGGCATAATACATAATTGAAAGAATGCGGGTGGATGGCTTCACAACAGTAATGATGGCTTCATATCTGGGGGAAGAAGAAAACAGAACACCAATTTTTAAATACCAGTTTAAAAATATTTTATTTTTAATAATGTTTTTTAAAAAGTCTACAAGAAGATTTAATGTTTCTATCTTTCTCAAACAAACTTACTTCTTTTTCTTCTTTTTTATATATTTATCTTGAGCAAATTCTGTCTTGTCTCGGAATGTTGTGCTATTTTCAATTAACTGCTGAACTATTTCCTATAAGAAAAGGAGCAGATTTCCTGAAATTTTATTTTCATAGAACACATCACTTCAAAGGTTTCTTACCCCAGAATGTATCCAAAGGTCTGATTCTCCAGTTCCTTTTCCACAGAAGTCTAAATGGATGAATTCTGTAGTTTCTTACTCTATCTAGAATTTGTATTAAAATACAAGTACTTTATAACTCTGTTTAAACTAAAATAAAAAGGACATACAATAAAAAAAGAAGAGAGGTAAAGGAAACCTGTCATTCTTGGAGTCACTGGCTGAAAACATTATTGAAAATAAAGTTAAGCTCTAATATGCACTGTTATTAAATTTTCTTTTGCTAACAATATTAGTAATCTTATTCACTTACATTCCTGCATATAAGAAATGAAAATTTTGACATAGTGAATTGCATGTACATTCCAAGCTATTTCTAATAAGTATACAGTATTTTTACATTTTACCTTAGGTAAAATCTGCTTTAAAAACCAAGCATTTCCCTAAATACCAAACAAAAACAAAACACAATATCCTTTTAATATTACCTCTCCTTTAATGCCCTTGTCCTTTAAAGCTTTTATGTCATCTTGAGTAAGTTTCTGAGATTTCCCATCATCAACTATATTTCGATTATCAGTGCCCGCTTCTTTGGTCTCTAAGGAAGGAAATTGCTTTATGACATTTATGATCTGAAATTATTAAAATATCTTCCTTCTTCTAAGTTCATGTCTACTTCCAGCCCATCAGTCACTCAAATTTGGCCTTCCAGTTCCACTGGAATGTACATGCAAACTATCCTTTCTTGCCACTACTCCAAGTTTCTAACTCCTCTTCCCACTCCCACTTTTGCCCCCTTACAACCCACCTGTAAGTCAGTTATCTTTAAAATGCAAATCAGCTCATCTATTCTCATGCAGAAACCACAAAGAGGCTTCCAGTATCAATTAGAATACAATGCAAAGATGATCTGCAAGTTTGAGTATGCTCTGGCCTTTGGCTATCTTTTTCTGGCCTGATTTCTTGACTCCCATTCTCAACCACATTGCCCTTGTTTCTGTCCTAAGCCCCTAATCACAAACCCACCACAGGGCTTTAGTACTTGCTGCTCCCTGTTTGGAATACTCTTAAGACAATGTGAGTGGCTGCATCCTTTCCATCAATCAGAGCTGAGCTCATCACTGCAGCCAAGTCTCACTTCATCCAATCAGGCTCCAGTACACCTCTCTGCTTTGTCATCTTCATAGCACACAACACCATCGGAAATTATGCTGCTTGCTACTCTATTAGATTATTTTTGGTATTCTCTGCTAATATTTTTAAAAATATTTATTTATTTTTAGAGAGGGGAAGGGAAGGATAAAGACAGGGAGAGGAAATGTGGATGTGTGAGAGAAACATTGATTGGTTGCCTCTGGCACTCCTCCAACTGGGGACATGGCCTGCAACCCAGGCATGTGCCCTGACAAGGAATCAAACCAGCACCTTTTGGTTCACAGGCCGGCGTTCAGTCCTGAGCCGTGCCTGTTAGGGCTCCACTAATACATTTTACTAGATGATCCATTTCATGAACTGCTAAAATCGCAATGACTAATCATGCCTGAAACATATTTGGTACTTAATAAAAATATGGATGTTAATTTAAAAGTATTTAACTAACTTGTTTGAACCAGAACTTTAATACTATTTTAATTATTTAGTTTTTATAATTATTTAAGGATACTTAATTTACTAATAAAATATATTAAGTACATTTATTTGAACAAATATTAAGTACTTAATTTTAATTAATAATAACAGCTAAAATTATGACTGCTTAACTATAAGCAAGGCACTATTAAGAACTTTCTATTTATCCTATGACTCACTATGGCCTAGGCATTAAATATTTACTGCCCCATTTTACAGATGAGAATATAAGATTTACAGAATAACTTGTCCAAGGTTACAAGGCAAATAGAGCTGAAACTTAAACCTAGCCAACTGAATTCAAAGCCAGATGTCTTAATTTCCTCCCAATATGTTCACTATCTCAAAGCTGTTCCTCAACTTCTGGGAGCTGAAAGGGCTCTGCATCTGCTCTTACACTGAAGCACCAAGGACTCATGGGATTAAATGCCTGGCCCAAGGTCAGAGAGCCAATGAATGACCGGCTGGAGCCAGATCCAAGTATCTCAAAGCCAAAGGCACACCTTGCTTCATTGCATCAAACTACAGTTCTTAGATTCCGAGTTTAGATTTCTTTAGAGATAGCCTGGGCTGGCACTTTCGAATTAGTTAGGTTTGACAGATTTCTGACTGGCCAGCTCAAGAGCACCTATTACATATACCCAAAGTAGTGCACCTGAAGGAGGCTCTTCCTTTTTCTTCGTAGGCTGAAGGCTTCCTCCACTGGTCACTTCAAATGTGGTTCCGTAACTATGGCCAATGACGTTATCCAGATAGAACCACTGTTTTTCAAAGGTTACTTTTCTGGGAAAGAAAATGCAATCAATTAGTCAATTCTCATTTGCATTCAGTATAGAAAAAATATGTTCACTCTAGTCTATTTCAAATCTGGTCTACACAACGGATGATCTACAACATTACTAGAAAGAATCTGGTTGGGGAAGAGACATAACAGTAATAAAGAAGCCACAAAAACATTGAATTTGGAACGAGAAACAAGGACAAGACATCCCTCCTCTGAGGCATAGGTCTGACTCCAGTTAGTATTATCGACAGGATATCCAAGCTCACAGGCTCTGCAGACTTCCCAATAGCACAAAGGGTGGCCAAGACTGCCAGGCCACTGGACACATTGACACCCCTTGTAACTTACATTAAGAAAATCTCAAAACTGAACAATCTTTGAGATGACAGGGATTTAACAGATTCCCTAGCTTAAATGACCGTTTTCTTGAAAAATTATCTAGTAAAAGCAAATTACATTTACAAATAAACATTACTGACAATATACACATTTGGAAATGGCGCTTAACAATGATGATGCTCTGCTGAGCACCAGGTGACTTTAGCTTTTCCCATCACCCAGATGGTTTTTTTTTTTTTTGGCAGTGAGAATAACATTTATTGAGAATGGCTTATTACAAACAAAATCCTATTATCCAGATTTTTATCTTATTACAATTTTAAAGTGAAATTCCACAAAAAAAACAAGAACCTTTCCTTCCTCAAGAAGAAAACTAACATCCACTGAGTGCCAGTCAGGTACTAGGCAGTATCTGCCAGATGTTTCACCCTTTTTAGTTTAATTCTCACAGTAATTCTGGGGCACAGCTCTTTCCAGGAGAGCAATATGAGACTGAAGGAAAAGTCCAAGGTTCAGTTAAAACGTGGGAGCTGGGATTTGAACCCAAGTCTGCCTGCACCCAAAGCCTGGTTCTTTCCACTGCACCACATGGCAAAGACCAATGGATCTCAGAAGTCCTGCCCAGTTTCAGGATGTGGCTCACACTGATGGACCTCCAACTCCTGGAGGACACATCTAGTTAATTTTCTTTGTGCTGCACCCCGCACCTTCTCTTCCTTTCTCTGTTCCCACAGAGGCTGACCATGACAGAACGCAAAGGGCACATCACTCAGGCTCCCTGCCGAAGGCTTCCTACCACTGCTAGACTCTGAGTGCATCACAGTCCCTACTAGTTCTCTAAACCTTGCCACCCCTCTGTATGTTATGTGTATGTGTCACATCTTCATTAAATCTCCTCACTTGAATCATCTGAATCATTTCTGCAAGATCCTAAGTGATCCTCATAGAGCCAACTCTCTTCTCTGTTGGGTCTTCAGTTCCTAACAAATGACACTCAACATATTTGCTAACATAAAAGCTGACAAAGAAATTGAAACTCAGCTCAGCCTTGATGTGCACCTCCTCCCCATTCTTTGAGTACCCAGTGCTAATGAAATACTGGGTATTTGCTGGGGTAGAGTTTATCCCTCTGGCAGCTGGTTTGATGTGCAAAGGAGGGTATGTAGCTCAAACTGATTGGCCTGGTAGGAGGTCACTACCCTAGTCAGAAAAGTGGGGCTCAGTCAGAGGGATGTGGAGCCAAGTCTTCACGGGGGGAAAAAGTGGGATTTGCAATCTCCTTCTAGATACCTAGGACTACTTCTGGCCAACCAGATGAGTGTAGCCCTAAGGGGAGGGAAAATTTGGCCTGGGATGTAGCTGACCTCAGAGGGTCATTTTCTAAACGTAAACTAATGTTGTGGCTTCTGCCAAGGAAAGTGATAAAAAGTGTTTCCAAATTTTTAAAAATTCTAAAGAGTACTTTTAAGAAACAGATATTACTGACTGCCTCCTTAGTAAATGAAAAATTCTTGCCTAAGCATATTTTTAAGAAGCACACTCAAAAAGCTACATTTAAAAATCAGGCAAGTTAAAAAAACAGTATGACAAGGAAAAAAGAAAAAGAAAAAACAAAGTTTCACCTGTACAGTCATTATACAGTTGTGTAACTTTGACTTCACTGAACTTACAACTTAACAATGTTATACTTCAATTAAAAAGTTTAAATAGTTGGCACTTTCCAAAACTTATGTACTTGGGAGCAAGCACACGTTTCTAACCAGTCTGAAAATAAAAAAAAGTACTGGTTTCAAGAATACAAAATACAGTCCTGTGTGAGCCACAGCCAGTGTGGCTCAGTGGTTGGGTGGTGTTCTGTAAACCAAGAGGTAGTGGGTTCAATTCCTGGTCAGGGTACATGCCAGGTTTTCAGGTTTGGTTCCCAATCAGGGTGCATAAGAGGGGCAATCCAGTCAATGTTTCTCTCCCTTCTTCTCCCTTCCTTCCCCTCTTTCTAAAAAAAATAAAAAGAATACAAAATACCATAATGATGAGGGATATATTATAAAATGTCTCTAATCTCAAGCACCAAAATGAAGATTTTGTCAATGGAGAATTTAGAAAAGCTTAAAAGCTGGTGCCGATATTACTGAACTAAACTTATTTACTGAACTTTAGTTCATTTCTGAACTAAAAGAAATCCCTCCCCCTTTGTATTTATCTTTAGTGGATGGTGTTTGTGCAAAAAAGCTTGGTTGTCATAATGTGAAGCAAAATAAGTCATCTGAACTGAGCACTTACCAGAAATTCCAAGTCTCACAACACCTAGACTTACGGTCTGCTAGCTGTTCTCCTGACACTGCACTGAACTTCCTTCTTTGTCCAAAACACTGTAACAACCCACCTCAAAAGAAAGCTTGGTTGTACTTTTCAGATAATCAAAACATCCCAATACATTTTCACCATTAATATGCAACTGGGATTTAGCCTCACCACCTCTGCTAAAAGTTATCAAAATTCCCACTTTCCTAACACTAAATCAGTGATAACTAATCAGCAGGTTCACAAACTAAACTTAATTTCAAGTTCTGAGAACTTAAGCAAACTGCTTCTAGGCAATTTAACTTTTCCAAAACTCTCATGGCCTGGTGTAAAATTGGGAATCCTAGAGTGACCACACATTCCATGGGAAGTTATTCAGTGTAGACAAGTAGTTCCTTTAGGTAGAGAGAAGAGTCCAGAAGATCACACAAGGCCGGAGAGGTTTCATTTTTGAACAATTGATCCTGGCTGAGGGATTAGGGAGGAAGGGGGTCTATAGGAGAAGGGAGCTGGGGTGGGGTGAGAAGCAAGGATAAGATCAGGGGTAAAGGGTGGGTTCTGTGAGAAAAAAGGAGAGTGGAAGGGAACCCCAGGACAGGAGGTGGGGGACAGAGTGACGGGGATGCGCCCGGGCAATAGAGGGTCAAGAATGGGAAAAATAACTCAGCAGAAAGACTGAGAAGGATGCTGAAGACACAGGAGCAGGTATGAGACCATGGAAGGGGGTCTCTGTAGAAAAACAGGAAGGGTAGAGGAGACCCTGAGGGCCGAGGATAGGATCCTGGGGGAAAAGCCCTCTGTGGGAGGATCCGAGAGCAGACAACTAGAGAGGACGCTGACAAGGACCCACAGAGCCAAAAATGACACCCTGCTGTGAGGGGTATGCAGGGGATCTAGAAGATGGGGAGTTGGACCCTAGGCCAGCGACCTGACTCACTTTCTCCGCTGAACTTGCACTGCTTTGAATACATCTTCCCGTTTCAGCACCACGAAGTCGCCGTCGCGGATGCGGTGGTCCCTGGGATGCTGTGGCTGCGGGTCCGACTGCTCTTCAGAACCCTCCATGACGCCCGGCGGGTCTCCCGACTTCGCAGCCTCTCTCCAGCCCCGGCGCGCGTCGCCAGTCCTCAGCGATCGCTGCAACCAGCTTCAGTTCCCACAAACTGAGAGGACGCCGATCCCACCGACCGGTACCGCCCCCACGTGTTGAGCGCCGCTTCCGTTTTCCGGTCAGACCCTCAGGACAGCTTCCGGGAGCCTCAGGTTGTCCCTCTGGCTGAACTCCTTGATTGGCTGCGTTTCGTCCCGCCCCTTCCGTTTTCCCGCCTTTTGGGCGGAAGTTGCGTTATAGTAGCGCCAAAATGGAACTTGGAGAAAGGCTGAACTGCTCTGCACACATCTTTCCGTGAGCCTTCGGGGACATAGTGGAGAAACAGGTCCCTGAGGTACTCCCGAAGCTCAGACTGGTCCCCGTGTGGGGATGTCAAGAGAGCTGCAGCTGAAGGGAACTACGGGACTTGGCAGGGGTCACTTGAGGATATTGGGGTCTCCTTTCGGCCCCGCCCTGCTTCTCCCCGAAGGGAAGGGAGAACTGGCGGGGCGGATCCGCTCCTACCCAGGAGTCGGTCGGCCCGGATGGGAAGTAGGACGACTTTGGGATCTCTATCCTTTGCCTGTAAGAACTTAGCCTGAGGAGGCTTAAGTGAAGTAGGGTATTTAACGGAGCACAGCAAGCCGACGGATGGCTCCTTTACTCATTTTCCAGTCATACTACTTGCATTTGTGTTGGAAATTTTGCTAGTTATTTTCACCCCGTTATCTCATTAGAGAAAGGAATGCCACGTAGCGTTGTCGAAGGAGCGCTTCAGCTGGGGTGTCTGAAGAGGAAGTTTTGAGCTTAGTACTGCCACCAAACAACTTTGATTTTGATCAATTTCTTTGGCCTTTAGTTTCTTAATTGTTAGTGTCCAGACGATTAGCAAAGTCCTGTCTTGTCCTAACATCGTGATCTTATGTAGTTAACCTATTACTTAAATCTCTTTAAAGAAAGATTCAGATACGTGCTCTTTAATGAATTGTACTACTGTATACGGGTATATTATTTTTATATTTAAAATATGAACTATTTTTTAAAAGACTTTTTCAGAGCAGTTTTAGGTTTACAGAAAAATTGTACAAGGTGTAAAGAGTTCCCATACATATCCCCCCTCCCAATATTCCCCTATTTGCATCCTGCATTAGTGTGATAAATTTGTTGTAGTTGATCGACCAAATTCAATACATTATTGTTATCCAGAGTCCATAGTTTACATTAGGATTCACTGTTTGTACTGTACAGGTCCATGAATTTTGACAAATGCATAATATATCCACCATTACAGTATCACAATGGTTTCACTGCCCTAAAAAATGCCCTGCGCTGCACTTACGTGAGGACTAATTTGTAAAGGTCACATATTTCAATTTATTGATACTCAGCCAGGAACTATTTTTAGGGGTTTAAATTTAATAAAAATGAGTGTCTTGCTATGTACAAAATAGAAAAAAATGTGAAGGCATAATTAGCAAAAATAGTATAACAGATATGGATATACTTTCCAAAAAACTTGCATTTCAACAAATTTACCTAAAAACTGCAAATAACCCACTTAATCGGTATTGACCTAAAATTGATCTTGCTTCCATTGTCTTTTAAGCCAGTTATGGAAGTCTCCTGGAAAGTTAGCATCTTTCCCCTTTGGTCTCCTACAGAGAAAGGGAGGTTGAAACATGTATATATGAGGTCTGTCCTGAAAAAGTCCAGCTATTGTTATGTAATGAGAATGCTTTACCCCACATCATTGTAACCTGGCAGCCAAGGAGAATGGACTGGAATGTGCATGCATGAACAATGAGGACTTCACTGGACTGGTCAGTGGGGGTGATAGATGCCATTGAGTGAGCATGTTGTATTGTGGCCGTTACATTGAAAATGACTTGAGTGAGTAGAGCGATGAATCTGCATCAGATTTTGCATTCAGCTTGAACTTTACTCTGTGGAAACTATTTAGATGATTCAGAAGGCCACAGCTATAGGCAACTGGTGACTGGCAGCTTCATCACCACAATGCACCCACTCATGCATCATATCTTGGACAGAGGTTTTTGCCAAAACATTAAATCACCTTGATGACTCACCTCCCCTACAGCCCAGATATAGTGCCCTGTGACTTTTGGCTTTTCCCAAAACTAAAATCACCTTTGAAAGGGGAGAGATTTCAGACTATCAGTTAGATTTAGGAAAATAGGATGGGGCAACTGATGGTGATTGGGAGAACTGTGTGAGGTTCGAAGGGGCCTGCTTTGAATGGGACAATGAGGCATCATTGTCCTATGTACAGTGTTTCTTGTATCTTCTTCAATAAGTGTCTCTATTTTTCATATTGCATGGCTGGATACCTTTTGGACAGACCTTGGATGTACCCTTCCCCACTCCTTTGCTTCCCCAGAACGGTCTACCTTAGATGCTTGTGTAAGAATATCCTTGTATCTCTGGAAAAAGTGGGTATGGCACTGCAGCATTGACTATATAAAAGATAAAAGATCTATGATGATGTATTCGTAGTGTCTCAAGGGTTGGGATTATGTTCAGCCAGTGGTGCCCTATAAAAAGTCTCAAAATACTGCAAACAAGGTATCTTAATTATCTGTCTTGCTCTCAATTCTACTGTTAGAGCTTCTTGAAAACAAGTACAGTACCTTTCTTTATTTTTATCTCATGAACATTCAGTATGCTTGTTAAACATCTGTGATAGACCTTAGAAAAAGATGAGGATTAGAAGAGTATAGAAGAGTAACTGCAGATTGCAAGAAGAACAGGTTCATACCACATTGTACAGTGCTGCAAACCTGTTGACTATTGTTAAAGTACATTGTATTACTTTCACTTATTTACTAGTGAATGCATTTTTGGGAGCACTATTTCTCCTATAATTTTGATGAAAACTTTCCTAATCTCTCTTAGAAGACATGAATGGAGAGTATAGAGGCAGAGGTTTTGGACGAGGAAGATTTCAAAGCTGGAAAAGAGGAAGAGGTGGTGGGAGCTTCTCAGGAAAATGGAGAGAAAGAGGACACAAACCTGACTTGAGTAAAACGACAGGACAACATGCTTCTGGTAGGGGAGGTCAATGATTGTTTTTGTTTTCCTCTTTTTTTTTTCCATAAAGGAATCTATTCATGCTTGGCATACAAAGCAATTTAACTCAAATTTCAGTCTGTCTTTTACTGATTGAAGACAGACTGCTTGTCTGCCCATTAAGGTAGTTTTTGAATGTTAATATCCAAAAATTCTTATTGAAGCCTGTAATTTAGATACTCTTAATATCAAGTCAAGTTCTCATTGTTGGTAGGTGGAGCAAATTGGAAAAAATGTTTGCTGTTTCTACTAACCTAGTTTTCTGTTTTGTTTTCAGAACAAACCTCACAATCTTTGCTACTACAGTCAACATTAGATCAGTTCATACCGTATAAAGGCTGGAAGCTTTATCTTTCTGAAGGTAGGATAATAATGCAAAAAGTACCATAAATTATAATTTTTTAACTTGTTTTTGGATGCTACATCTCATATTACTATAATTCATTTGCTTACTGATATATACCCCTTCTTTAATATTAGTTCACCCAAAGAAATCACGTTTGTTTTAAGACTATTATATTTAGGTTTTGTATCAGTGGGGAGCACAGAAGTCACACTAGGTATTTCAAAAGAGGGATTTAATATAGGGAATTGGTTATAAATATGGAAAATTAAAACAGCAAAAAGGGAACATTGAGGTAAGCGCCCAGATAGTAGTAACTTCAGGAAGCAGCAACTATCCTTATGACTGAGGGAACAAAAGTTCTGAGGTTACCAGAACCTAGGAATTCAAAGGAGTGGCCACAGCGAAACCATTGCATTGACCTCTGAAGGACACCCTAAAGAGTTGTGCTTAGACATCTGAAGTGAATTAAACTGGTTGCTGCCGGTAACTGGTGGAAGAATGGCACAATTGAAGCTTGAAGTTGGAAGATGGAACTGTAGCTATCCTTTGTAGCTGGAGGGATGCTGAGAAGAATTGGAAATAAGAATAGATTATTTTCTTCTTTCCTGCCACCTTCGAGCCTCTAAAGTGCCTCCAGCTAGCAGAACCTGAAGCAGTCTGGGAAATTCAGTGTGCAGATCTTGATCATAAGGTCACAGGGTGGAAAACAGAGAGTAAACTTGGAACCGAGAGATGATAACCAACACAGGTATCTACAGAAACACAGTTAAGGAGTCTCCCTTTTATAATCAAGAACACCAGCTAATGTCATACGTCTGTCTATATAGGTTTGGAGAATTGTCTTCTCTGTGCTGTTGCAGGATCTAGCTTGTTATGTCTCTTACAAGATAAGAGATAGATTGATCAGTGGTTTTTCCCACTAGACCAGTGGTTTTCAACCTTTGTGCTGCAGCACACTGGTGTGCTGGAACAATCTTTAAACATGCAATACCTGACTTTAGTCAGAGGCACTGACCTGTTTTCCCTTAGATTGTCAAATAAAAAAAATTGTAACAGCTAACACAACAATAGCTATCCAGTATATGAATCAAAATTGTAGCTATTGTGTTTGGTCAGATCAGCAAAAAAATGTGTACAATATTTTTTGGTGTACCACAGAATTTTAGTAATTAGTTTGCGTACCTTGAGATGGAAAAGACTGAAAATTTCTGTTTTTTCAATTATAGTTGACATTAGTTTCAGGTGTACAACATAATGATTTGACATTTATATAACTTGCAAAGTGCTCACCCCGTAAATCTAAAGATATCTGTTATAAATGTTGGTGCTTTTAGGGCCATACCTGCTGTCTGCGTTTCAGGTTATTTAAACCTAAATTTGTTTCAGAACCTTAAGTATACATTTCATACCATTTGTTTCTTTTTTCTTTTTCTTTTAAAAAGATTTTATTTATTTATTTTTAGAGAGAGGGGAAAGGAAGGAGAAAGAGGGAGAGAAACATCAACGTGTGGTTGGTTGCCTTTCATGCACCCATATTGGGGTTCTGGCCCGCAACCCAGACATGTGCCCTGACTGGGAATTGAACAGGTGAACCTTTGCTTTGCAGGTCCATTCTCAATCCACTGAGCTACACCAGCCAGGGCCATTTCATACTACTTCTTGTCTAAATGTACTCAGAAGGCAAAATAATAGGAAAAAGC